CTAACTTTATAGTGCTTGCTGTATGTGACATCGTTTCACTGGGCCTTCCCCATAGGCAGATAAGGCACCTATAATATGTCTGGAAATTAAGATTGTAGCTAAACAGGAGGATTTAAGTGGCAGGCTATGATGTACCCAGTCAGTGCAGTGGTAGGGCTGTTTTGGTTTAGGGCTATGATGATGATGAGGGGACTGGAGCATCCCTCTGCTGAGGAAAGGCTGAGAGAGCTGGGTCTGTTCAGCCTGGAGAAGAGAAGGCTCAGAGGGGAATCTCATCAATAATAGCTAAAGAACAGCTGTTGAGAGGATGGGGCCAGACTCTCAGTGGTGTTGGCAGGACAAGGGGCAGTGGGCACAAACACAGGAAGTTCCGTCTGAAGAGGAAAATCTTTTTTACTGTGAGGGTGCCAGAGCCCTGGGACAGGCTGCCCAGAGAGGTTGTGGAGTCTCCATCTCTGGAGAGATTCCAAACCCACCTGGACACCATCCTGTGCAATGTGTTCGAGATGGACCTGCTTTGGCAGGGGCGTTGGACTGGATGATCTCCTGAGGTCCCTTCCAACCCTCACCAGTCTGGGATTCTGTGTGGTACAGGCAGCCCCAGTTAGGAAGGCTAAGCCTGGGGGTGACTCTTCATCTTGCTTTAAAACCTACTCTTGTTATATAAAATTGAGGAAGTAATTTGAGGACTGTGTGAAGTTATCCTACAGATGCCTGTTCAACAGCGTTGGCACGAAGTTTTAATCCACAGCTGCAACTTTAAGGTCAAACAGCTTATTTCTCACATTGCTGCTTGGTGTTTATCCTTAATTGTAGCCCTGCTTCAGGGGATGATAACATATACAAAGCTCAAGCCATCGCAGCAAATAAGAGTTTCCAACTGCCAGTACCATCGTAATCTTCATACTGTTGCACCTTTCATTTCATTTAAGTATTATTCACAAAAAATGCCACAATAAAGTCATCTAGAGCGATCTGTGTAGCTTAAATTAAGGCTCTAATTTAATTTAAGTCCTGGATGTCCTAATTTTCCCACAGGGTCTCTGAGTTCAGTTGCCACATCTCCGGGTGCTGCCAGGTCTTTGATACACTGGAGGGCTACGAGCACCACTACAACACGCTGCACAGGAACGTCTGCTCCTTCTGCAAGCGCTCCTTTCCATCAGGGCATCTCTTGGATATTCATATCTTGGAGTGGCATGACTCGCTTTTCCAGATAATGGCTGAGAAGCAAAACATGGTGGGTCTCCATGCCCAGCCCTTCGCTCACGGTTGGTGTGCACGGCGCAGGCTGGCATCCTTCGAGACTAGGACTGTTTGGGGAGGGCACCCATGTCCCCAGCTGACACCACTTGCCTTTTCCAATTCCTTTTTCTTTTTTTTTTGCCTTTAGTACAAGTGTTTGGTAGAAGGCTGTGCAGAGAAGTTCAAGAGGAGCAAGGACAGAAAGAATCATTTGGTCACCGTTCACCTTTATCCTGCTGACTTCCGGTTTGATAGACCGAAGAAAGTGAAAAGGTAAATACAGAACTGCGGTAGCACACCTGGTTTTCCCTTGTAGAAGTGATGTTGTGCTTCTCTGCTGTCTCACTTTCCAGACTAAGCAAGTTTATATCCTGAGAGGCTCAGAAATGATGTTTTCTGTTGCTTGTAAGAATAGGTAAACTTGCAGGTCTTTCTGTGGCAGTGTTTTACTTTATCTTATGTTGAAGCATGTCTTATTTCTCTCCCCATGTGGTTCCAGGCTCTGCTCCCTTTGTGCCTTCTCAAGTGTAAACACAAAGCCCAGCATCTCTGTGCATTGCTTTGTGCACATTTCCTGCTTTGTTCTTCCATGCTTTGCAATATTCCTGTTCCCTAAAAGCACAAGTAGAGCAGAGGGAGGCTTTGTAAGTTTGGCGAAGGGCTTTCTCAGCTGGCTGCTCATTTCAAGGACTGATGTTGTTGAATGCCTTCCTCAGAGACCTGGATGATGGGATTGGAGAGAAAATTTCTTCCCTGGTAGGGTGGTGTGGCCCTGGGATGGGTGCTCAGAGGGACAAGGGAGTGGGTCTGTAGGGTCTTTCAAAGTGGGTAGCCTGGTCTAGCTGTGATGTGAACTCTGAATCCTCTAGTCTAACCCTTTGAGCAGAGGCTAGAGACCTTCACAGCTCCTTTCCTTTCTGTGTGTCAGTGGTTAGAAGTGGTGTATTGCAGCTCTGGACATGGAAACAGCTGATTGCAGAAGCAGATAGGGGACTCGAGAGGCTGTCAGTCACTGCCATCACGTCACGGCATAATGGTCTTGAGGCAGGTTTGGCAACAGAAGGTGAAATGTGTTCTGCTCCGAACACTTCAGGGTGGACCAGAGGGAAAAGGGGAGAGCTGGTCAGGACTGTGCAGGCAGGCCCAGCCGTGTCCTAGTAAAGTGGTTTGGCATTTAGGGAAGAAAGAAACTGCCGACCATAAATGCTGCTGATCCCTTAGCCAGGGATGAAAAGCGAATGGTGATATACAAAGGCTTAAACTATAAGCCTTAAATCAGAGTTGACTTTTGAGTGAACTTCCCAACCTGTATCACATCAGCATTAAATACAACCGTGAGACTTTTCCTCCTACAATCCAAAGCCAGGTGCAGAATGCCAAAATAGCAGCTTCTCGGACATATCTCAGATACTGGCCAGATCTGGGATGTGCCCATGGGAAGTGAAGCCAACCCATCAGATGTTCCTGTGCCTTTCTGGCTGCGTAATGTGTTTGTTAGATGGTATAAAAGCAGGACCCTCTCACAGCAAAGATGGAGACCTGACCTGTGAGTGGATGCACTGCACAGAACTTGCCGGGGAAAGGCTCTCCAAATCCTTCACTGTGATGAGGCTCCCCAGCTGGTGCACGGATCTGGATGGTGATCAGTATTTGGGCAATTGGTGGTGAATCTTTCTTGCTCACTATGCTTTCTCTTATGTAGTGATGATCAGGTGCATTACCCTGTTTATTTTTGTACCTTACTTATTCTTCTTTTTTCCCTGCTTTGAACTAAAGTAAAATAAGTTTGGTTTTGTTGTCAAGTTGGTGTCTGTGTCCTCTTTGTTAGCCCCATCAATTGGCAAAACCAACAGTTACCTTTGGCTGCAACCTGGTATCAGTAGGTCAGCTAAAGGACAGTCCTCTTGGGGAGTCAAGGCCATTGAATGAGTTGTGCTTTATGGACTGAAGACAAGAACCTGGGCACAAAGCTGTGTGCTATAATGCAGCCACCCTGAATACTGAAGGAGAAACTCATACAAGCCTATCGCACAGCTCTCCAGCAGCCTTTTGGCTGCTCCCACTGGTTTGCACAGCCCAATCTCTGTGCCTCCAGGCAGTAACTCACCCAAGTTGGACTTCACCTGTTTCATCAGGAAATACCTTTCATTTCCTTTGCTCTGGGCTTACGTGGCAGCTGCTGAGAAAGGATATAAAATTTTCTCTCCACAGTGGCCCCAAGCACACGAGCTCTCCCATGAAGCAGGGTGCTGGCGTGCCGATGGATGTGAGCATGGAGACGTCGGAGCAATTCCAAGTGGACCCCATGGAAACAGGGCCCAGTGAGAACATGGAGATCTCTCAGCCTGCAGCCAGCCCCAACCCCTCAGTGCCAGAGAAACGACTCTATAAATCCAGGTCTGTACTCTTGGCCTCCACAAATAATTTCTGGGGTTGGGTCCATATCACCTTAATTGCATTTTGCAGTGTCTAGTGCAGCATGGCTGAGGGTGTTTCTGTGTTGAAGATAAAAGAGGTAGGATTTCCATGTATGTTTTAAAAAACATTTCTAAAAGAGGAAAGTGTAAGGAGACACAGAGTATTTGTGTGCGCCGTGAAAGCCATGTCAGTAAGTTTCTGTTAGTCTGCTTGCCCATGATCTCTTCCCAGGGCACAGCAGAATGGTGTGGGTCTGATGAGAACAGCTCTGTCCTAAAATACTCAAATTCCGTTCCTGCTTTTTAAGGCTTTCCCATCCGAGCTGACTGGGCTGATCTGGTGCGTTTCACTGTAGCTGTCCGTGCTCCCATGCAGTCGCAGGGTGAGGCACAAATAAACCAGTGAACATCCTGCTCTGAATCTCTGCAAGGTCAAAACAACGTTGCTGTTTTTTCTGGCGTTGGTTTGGTTGGTTGGTTGTTTTTTTAAATTAAAATCTTCACAAAAAGTTGAAACTGAATTGCCTAACTCTGGCTTGGCTTTTGAAATCCCCCTCATCATGTGCTGTAAAACCTCTGTGAGATACCAGATAGCCATCAAAATGTCACCACCCTTTTCCCAGCACCCAGATCGGTGTCATTTTAGTCATCATTTCAACCATCTCTCAGCACAAAGGTTTATATGTTTTTGCCTGAGCTATTCCAGTTAGCAAAGGGATTCTTGTGCTTTGAATTTGCCACATCTGTGACAGTCTGGAAGCAGCATGATGAGCGCACGGAGTGCTGTGTGGGGAGACCCGCTTCTGTCCTCTGCTCCTTCTGGCTGCCACAGTGACATTTGAAACTTCACTGCTTTGTCCTGTGTAACAGCTTATAAACCAGAAGGAAACCATCCTGTGGATTCGATGTGATACTGTGGGTCAGAAGGAGAATTTGCTGCTTCTACTACACTTCTACTGCTGCTTCAGCCTGGAGAAGTCTCTGAGGAGAACTTATTGTACCTTTCAGTACTTAAAGGGGGCCTGTAAGAATGACAGGGTAAATTTTTTAATAGCGTCTGTAGCGATAGGACAAGGAGTGATGTTTTTAAGTTAAAAGAGGGGAGATTTAGACTAGATAGAAGGAAGAAATTTTTTACACTGAGGGTGGTGAAACCCTGGCCCAGGCTGCCCAGAGAGGTGGTAGAAGCGCCATCCCTGGAAACATTCAAGGTCAGGTTGGACGGGGCTCTGAGCAACCTGATCTGGTTGAAGATGTCCCTGCTCACTGCAGGGGGCTGGACTAGATGGCCTTGCAAGGTCCCTTCCCATCCAAACCAGTCTGTGATTCTATGATTCTGCTCTCCTGCTCTTCACAATCATGTGCTTCTGCACCAAGCTGATGCAACTGCCCAACAGCACGTCACATTTTGTAACACCTTACACCCAGCTGTAAAGAGAGAAGAGGCCTCCAGAACATACATGAAATGTGCAGAATAAATGGGAAAGCAGACCAGTATTGCACCCATTTTTTGAATTACGCTTTAGTGATTTAGATGTCCCGCTCCTCTGGTACCTTACTCTTCCCACTCACTCTGGGAGTTTGAAATGCTACCCAAGGCATAGAGCATCCTGGTGATCCTGCAAGAGGTGGGCTGTTACTGTGGACTAACATGTATCTCCCTTTCCAGGATCCCATCCACAATTTGCTTTGGACAAGGTGCCACCCGAGGATTTAAAGGACCGAGGAAGAAAGTCTGAAGGTCAGTGCCCCAGATCTGTGTGAGATGAGAAGGCGCTGGCTGCTGCCACCCGGCAGCATTAGCAATGGCCCTGTGGCTGAGCAGGGATATCGGCAGTTGTGTGCGGGTCCCGCTCTGTATGGGGAAGGCAGAAGGGTAACAACAGGGATTGTGTGACAGTCGTTTGGGATACATCAGTACCATGGGAGGTGTTCCTCTGCAGTCCCTTTGTGTCTCTGTACCACCTGCCTTTGCAGCATTTCAGAGCTGACCCATGCTTATGGTTATCCTTCCTGAGACACAACGGTCTCTTTTCTGGTCTCCTCTGAAATCAAACTGCAAATAAATTAGTCTGCCTCTGTGCTGCGATTTTTTGTTTCATCAGTGTGCAACCCGCTCTGGGCAGCAGTGGCTTTCCAGATAGATGGTCGCATCTTGCCTGAGCTAGCAAAAGGCAAATGCTGTTCTGAAGGTCCAGGCAGCTGCAGGGATCACGCAGGCTTTATGAAAAACGTGCAAGGAATTGCTGCCAGAAATGCAGCACGGGGAAAATACTCTGTGTTCCCTTTTCCTGCAGGCAGCCCCCCAGCCTCCTCAGCTGGCCTGGGGGCAGGGTGTCATGCTGCCCTGCCAGCCCTACTTGCACAGGGGAGGATCAAAATAAAATCTAGAGGAAGAACAGTGTAGATTACAACAATTTGTGTAATTCTTTTAAATTTCATTCTTTCATTTTCTCAGAATTTTTAAAAGCTCCCAGTGAGGACAGCCCTGGGGACAGCACACAGACGTCAGGCGGGTTGAGCTCCCCGTCAGTTGCTCTAAGAAAGAGTCTCAGACTGGCAGAGCACTGCAACATGGAGGTGAGAGGAAATCAGCTGCTGGAGCTGAGACTACACAGGATTCTTTTTTTCTTTTTTTGCCTTTTGGGGGGAAAAAATAGATTCATGAAATTCCAAGACAAAATCTGTTGACTGTACAGAAGCTGCAACCACTAACAAAGAAAAAACAAACAGAAAAAAAACAGCATTAGTCCTTAATTCTTCGTCTCACTGAAGTCTGCTCCACTCCATGCCACCTGCTTTGAAACCCACGTAAAAGGTTTGCCTGGGCCAGGAAAAGCATTCTGGTGCCTTGCAGCTCATTTCCATGAGGAGTTAAAGTGACTTCCAGCTAGGTGAATAAATACAATGAATTTTTTATAAAATTGCCTCATAGAGAATTTAAATGCTGTTTTGAAGCCCAGGCAGAGTCAGATGTGAAGAATGAACCTCCGTCTGAGATGGATGTTATTAGGATCTATATTTGGTTCTTTTTCACTTCCCCCTCTCTGGGAGGAACAAAGGATAAAAAGGGCTTTGAAAAATCCTTCCACATGGGAGCAGGGAATGATGCTGACAGTGACGTAGGAGATTTCCCTGAGAGTTATAAAATGCTATGCTCTTTTTAAAACTCAGCCGGCTTGTCTGGCCTTAATCCTTGCTCTTTGGCTGCTGGAGAGACTCTGTCACCACCTTTGTGGCCACCATCCTGGTGCTCCTGCCCTGTGTCTACCCAGGAATGTCCCTCAGCATGAACCACTGTCGTCCCAAATCTGGATCCTTCACTGGGTGTGCATCAATCAATGCACTGAGTCGAGATATTTGTCTTTAGTGCTGGTCTACAGAGTAGGAGGCTGGGTTTGGAATCGTAGAATCACAGACTGGTTTGGGT